GCAGCCGCAGATACAGCTGCCACAGGGGCAGCCTCAGATACAGCTGCCACAGGCGCAGCCGCAGATACAGCTGCCACAGGGGCAGCCGCAGATACAGCTGCCACAGGCGCAGCAGCAGATACAGCTGCCGCAGCTGCAGGAACAGCAGCTGCAGGAAGTGCAGCTCCAGCAGGGGCAGCTGCAGGAGGTGCAGCTGCATGAGATACAGCTGCAGGAGGCGCAGCTGCAGGAGATGCAGATGCAGGAGGGGGAGATGCAGGAGGGGGAGATGCAGGAGGGGGAGATGCAGGAGGAAGAGCTGCAGGAGGAGCAGCTGGAGGAGGGGCAGCCACCAGAAGCCCCAGTGGCTGTGGGCACCGTGAATCTGGGCCAGCTCCCCCTGCCCCCGATTCCCCCTGTCTTTACAAATGGCACCACCACTGCCATCCTGCCTCATTTCCATCATGCCTTCAGATAAATAGTCTTTAAAAGCAATTTTTTCTGATTGTGGAAGATGTTTTAAGAAGCATTTTAAACATCAGTTATGATACAAGGAAAGATGTAGAAAACAGGAATGGGAGTATGGCGTATTCAGTGATGACTTGTCTTAAGAGAATTCTCGAATTGCATGTATTGTGCCAATCTGTTCTGAGTATTCATGCTTTGTACCAAATTTAACGAGTGCGTGTTCTTTAATCAAACTGCAAATATTGTCATAACCAACATCGAAAATGACAGCTGCTATATATAAGTGTTTGTTATATTGAGTTTAATTGTAAGCCATGATCATCATGTTAACTAAATAACTTTTTATGTGGCACTGCCTAGTATGGAAAGGCTTGGACTTCTCCAAGTTGGGAGAACAACTTTTTTTTTCTTTTTCTTTTTTAATAAGAATATAACCTTTATATGTATGCTATATTACAACTAAGCTGTGTATCTCTCTGTTCAGGGATTTTTCTACCTTTAGGGTTGAACGTAGTTTAGTTACTATTACCATAGCCAACCTGTAGTTTTAGAGAAAGAAAATCCCTGTAGAACAATAGGTTCCTCCATTTTTAAGCATTTTAAATGTAGTTTGAATATTTTCCATATGATGCTGCAATGTGAGTTATCACTTCATTTATCTTAAAGACAAAACTGGTTGTCAGTTACATCTGCCTGAAAAAAAAAATCACTGTGTAACCAGGTTAAGTGGTAAAATAATCCAGGCGTCAGACAAAGACATTGTGCTGACTATAATATCGATTATATTTTTAACAGGAATTTAAAAATATTACTGGAATTTATATATTAAACGAGTTTTCTTTGCCTAGCTTAAACTACTATTCAAGCTGCTTAAGTTCCTAAGTATTGTTTTTAATCACCGATAAGTGCATTTGTAATTCATCAGTTTAAGCCATTATTAGCATTTACTCAAAGAGGATTACATTTTACAATGTAATTGTACCTGTAATCTCTGTCTCTGAAATCTCTTTCTCTTGAGGATTACATTTTACAATGTAACTGTACCTGTAATCTCTGTCTCTGAAATCTCTTTCTCTTGAATATGGTATCTTATGAGTTTTTGACATGTAAACTGTAACCTTTTAAAAACCTTTGTATTTTGTTTAGAGGTTTTCTTTTCCATAAACATGTATCTTACATATAATAAACTTTACATATCTTGCAATACGGCTTGATTAATTTTCACATAGCTACACCTGCGTCAACATTAAACACTCTGATCAAAATAGACAATGTTCTAACTCCCTAGTGCCCCCTCCTGGTCATTACTTCCCCCACAGAAAATAAACTATCGTTCTTGGTCTGCATCTGTTAGAAACTTGACCTTTTGAATAAAATCAGTTATTTCTGATGTATAGGTCAGAATACTACCTACTAGAGTTTAATCCACTCTGGCTACTATTATCCATTTTATAACAGCATTTACCATTAATTTCTAATACAAATTAGAAATTTACTTATTCCTTACAAGGATTTCTTTAGAAAGTATTATGCCCCTTAAATCTGACAGACTAGTTTGGGAGGGCAGAGAAAGGGGAGTGTTGTATTTGCACATCCCAGGATTACAATAAGTGAGAGAAACTCTGGCCATGACAAAGGGCAAARGCTAGGCTGAAGCATGTAGAATTAATATAGAGGAACTTAAACTATGGGATCCAGATGGGCTTTCTTGTTTTTCCAGCACCAGGGACAGAACCAATAGCTTCACATGAGCTAGGAAAGCATTCTACCACTGAGCTTCACCACTAAGCCCCAAACTAAGGTCCTTAAACTATAGTGGAGCCAGAGGGAAGGAAACAAGGCAAAATGAGATATAGGGTCCTCACTGGAAGGAATCCAGTGCCCATGCTCTAGACGTCCAAGTCAGTTCCCACATACCATCCTTCCTCTTGGCAGGAAGCATCCCTCCAGAACAAGGGATTGTGGGAGTTTTATCTCACCTCATCTTAAGACCTCCCAAAATCTGTTTATAGAAACGTCCACAAATACTTTTACATGGCTTAATATAGTCTTTGGTCAGTTCTGGAATGCACACCTGATGTTCCTCAACATAAATCAATGGTATTTGGTCCCCAAAATTCAGGTCATGAGAGCTTCCGATGTTTTTGCTATACTATTATGGGGGCAACTTGGGAATCTCTTGCTGAAATTTAGGAAAGAAACTTCACTGAATCTTCCCTATTAAAGTTCCCAATGAAGAAAAGCAAAGTTGTTGAGCTAAAAAGTATGAGACTAAATATAAATGGCTCTTCAAAAAAAGAAAAAGAAAAAAAAAACCTGATGCTTAAGACAGCAAAGAGGAGGAAGAACTGGCTCACCTTCTCCCAGCAGTTGTGTAAAGCCACAGCAAAGAAGGGAACTGGCTCTGATTTGGCCCTGGTAAATGGGATGGGGCCTTTGGTATTCTTCCACAGGGTGGAAAGTTTTCTGCGAACTTTCCCCCTGTGAGTTTTCCCCTAAATATGGTCCGTGTGAGATCTTATGAACAATTCTACATTATATAGGAAGGAACATTTAAAGTAGAAATCATTACTAATGGTAATATTAAGTGTAAATATTAAAGCTGGGTGAGGACAGATTTTATGTAGAAAAGATGCTGGTTAAAACGCAGTATTCCTAGTAAATAAATAACACTAGTACTCCAAAGACTACGTCACAAAAAGTTTCAACTTCCAAAGCAACACTATTAAATGCCTAAGAAATATTTGATAAAAAAAAAAAACTTCAAGTGAATCTTAAACAGTATCATACAGGTTGATGTGTTTAATGATTTTGTTTTGAAAATTGTGAAGGGAGTAAATAAAGAGGAAAGTCGAAGCTAGTGTTACTTATCCTAAGAGATGCCTCTAGAAGATGGGCATTGACTGTCCTTCCCGTTAGGTGGCATTCCTGGGTACATGACCATCCAGGCTGCTGAGTTTTGGGGAGCCAGTCTGAAGGCAGAAAGAAGCGTCATTAGTTTTAGAACATCACTCTTTGCACAATGAGAATGTTAAGCAACAGGCATCTGTAGATTTATAAATGCTTTACACACAATCCGCAATCTCAGGAACTACCTTTTACTGTGGAATGTTTGGAAAAAGAACAAGGCAGTAGCTTTCCAGGTCAAAAGTGAGGATCATTCCCCCTTCCCTCTAACTCAAGACTGAAACACAGAGTGTTCATACTGACCAATAGTTTCAAGAGCATGCATAGAGCTAACCCAGATTGGGACTTGCCCATCATGGATCCATTCTCTTAAACATTGACCAACTATATTCTGCACATTATGTTATCAGCCACACCTGGATTAGGGTGGGTTTTTTCCCTTACCTGGTCTCTAGGAGTTAATCTTTCTTAGAAGATTTACTAAATCCTTGTCTGAGTTTTGCTCCAGAAGTAGGGTCGGTAGCTAATCCTATGCAAACATAAACAGATTTGTTATTATGTCAAAGCAGAACATTCCCAAGGGTGGGGGGAATGATTATGAAATCTCCATCTTGAATTCCAAAGCCTTTTTTTTTCTTTTTCTTTTTTTTTTTTTTTGGTATCAATACCCACTTTCCAACCTTAGACGAGTAATAAGGAAAATGGGGCCTGTCTCAGGCGCTTCTCCCCACTGTCCCCTAGCCCTTTGTTTTCCTATGAACTTTGGACTGCCACCTTAGGGGACTTGCCATTTATACAATATGACCTCGGCATCCCTTCCCACCCCTTCCTGAGCTTTCAAAATGTACCCAGAATATTTCATGTCTTCACAGTTCTTTGCCAGCTCTCAGTTAGGGTTTGCTAAGCCTTATGGAAGCACAGGATACCTTCCCTCACAGAGGCTATTCATATCTTTGAACTTGTGACAGAAGTACTGTTCTATGCCTCTGTGCCCTGCAGAACGGCTAGGTATCGACATGCAGAATCTGAGCACAGCATACTGTAGTYTGGGTTTGACCACATGGTATGAGACAGGATTTTCAGAGCAATCATTCCTTATAAAAAGAAACAGATCCTGGTATCTTAGAGGCATCCTTTCTAATTATTCAGTGTTTTATAAAGAAGTAGCAGTAAGGAAATTATGAATCAAACAATCAGAGAATACAGAATAGAAGAAGCTTTCAGTGTTAGTTTTACCCAAGGACATATAAAACTTTTGCCAAAGAATCAGAAACTGATGCTATGATCCTCACTACATTTGCTACAGAATCAGCTATGTAAGAAGGGGTATACAAGAAGGGGTATACAGKGTATACAAGAAGGGGTATACAGTGCAGGTAAGATGCTTAACTTAATAAACCTAATAACCTAATAAAAACCCACTGACTCCAGAGGCAGGGGCAGGGGGAAGCAGAGTCCACAGCAACAAAGCTGAACAATTCAATTTTACTAACTATGAAGCAACATAGGTGTAGATTCCAGAATTACATTTTCTCAGCAACKTTGGTCTCTATATAAAGGTGCTGGGGAAGGAATGTGGTGATGGCACCTCTTCACCCACCAGTTGCTCTGACACAAAAGCCTTGAGAAAACAGCCACCAGTAACTGCTTGCTGACTGAAAGTCATAAACTCTTTTCCCATCTGAACATCAGAATCTTTGTGGGAATGCAAGAGGAGCCACTTTTTTTTTTTCTGAAACTATTTCCTAATGTTATCTATAGCCTTGACATTTGTATTCTTGGACCCGATTTTCCCAAAGCAGATGGAGCTTGGGGAAAAGCCCTGCTGCTTCCTATTAAGTTGCTTGTCCAGATTGCTTAATCCTCATCTGGAAAACAGGGATATGAACATACACTGACCTGCTCATATTAGTATGAGGATTAAATGGCTTTGTCCATGGAGTGCTTGGAAGAGTGCGTAATGTAAGTGGGGCCACTGTCCATGAACTGGGGACTTATTTAATACAGCAAAAATGCAGAAGCAATCTACCTGCTCAATATTGGGAAAATAGCCAAGGGAGTTGCAATGTATTCCTGATATGATACTGTTTTCAAAGAGATTCTTTTACTATAGGGAAATAGTCAAAATGCATTAAGTGCCCCCAAAACAAAAATGTTCCTAGAAGGAAAACCAGAGAGGATGATATGAATAGAAATAAGTTAGGAAAAAAAGGTCAAAGTGAACAGTGCTTAGGGTGGCAGCATCACGAATGATTTTTAATTTTCTTTATAACTTTCCCTCCATTTCCTAATATCTTTTACAGTAAGCTAGAATTTCTTACATAATTCTTAAAATGCTATTTCTCAAAATAAATTTTGGCAGGCTCTCTTAAAATGGCCAGAAACAAAAAGTTTCTAGGTCATCATAATTGCCTGACTCACACAGATGTGCCTGACGCAGAGTGACAGAGGATGGGACAGCAGCATTGACAACAAATGATGCTTTGTTAAGCGTCTCTGCCCTCCCTGCTCACATGCAGGTCTTCCATTTCAACTTTAGTTTCTCTTTACACCACAACTTTTTCCTGTGCTTTGGCCAAACAAACTGTATGTTCCTAGAGTGTGGCCTCACATTCACATTCTCCATCTTTGTTCATTCTTCAATTTTTCTTGTCAAAATCTAGCTTATCCTGAAATCCATCCACTTCCACAGAGCCTCCCCTCTCTGAGACTGCTACCTCAGTCATGAAGCCTCCTGGGCAACACTGAGCTCAACATCGAGCAATGTCCCTTAGGACGTTTCCATCTCATCATTAAATATTAGGCGCCATTACTGACAGTTCCCCTAGATTTTTAAGGCTCCATAGGCAGAGGAAACAATCCTGCCTGGTAACTGTTGGAGGGAGGACTCCTCTTGAGCACCTGGGTTAATGATTTACCAATTTCACATGCTACCATGTGCTCACATGTTAGACTTGCCTTCTCAAGAGACCCTGGGATAAAGAAGGCCTGTGACTTACACACATGTACCTTCCCGACTGAGAATTTAGAGCTATTATCCATGGGAGGTGCTACATGCTTACTTTGCTAAAGAGAATTGAAAAACAAAATCCAGAGTTTGGGAGGTTGCTATGGCTGAGATATGGTGGGGATGTGACTCCCCCCTTCCCAAGTGTTCTGGTGTTGGAAGCTGGATCCCCAGTGTGGCAATGTTAAGAAGCCGTGGGACCTTTACAAGGTGGAGTCTAAAGGGGAGGTCATTAGGGGTAT